AGAGAGACTAATAGTCTACTACTATTTTTTTGAAAAAGTTGTATATCTACTTCCTTTTATACATGAATATAAATTTCATGTGATTTAAAACTTTGCTTAAGATTATATAATTATAAAAGTAGCAAAAGAAATTATTGGAGGCCATTTTTATAGTTTTATGTGAAACACCTTCCTAAGTGTGACATAAAACATAAAAGTCATCCAAGAAAGAGACTTACAGATATAATTGTATAAAAATTTAAAACTCTCCCTTCAATTTCTAAATTTATTCTCTCAATGGATTTTAATTGAGCACTATCAAGTTGTAGGAACCCTGTAGTTTCTGAATACAGGGTGAACAAAGTATATGATTCTATTCTTATGCATTTAAAGTCTAGTGGAAAAGATAGAAAATAAATAAACAAGAAAATATAAACAAAATTACTAACTCAGCACATTGTTTGGATACAATCACTCAATGTGAAAAGGTCGCCATGAGAGGACAGGGAAAATTTATATTGGATTTGAATGGGCAGGAAAGGCCCCTCTGGGTTTATAGATAACCTGAAGAATAATGCAGCCCTGATGAATAATATAGAACAAGCCATTAAGAAAGGAAAATGTTGTAGGTTTGGGGAAATATGTATAGATAGATATACTTCCAGGCCAAGGCCACAGTGACCCATCTCTTCCCACCAGACTTCACCTCCCAACATTACACCCAGCTATAAACTCATCGGTAGACTAATACAGGGATGAATATTATACACCCACGATCCACTCACCTCCCCCAAAACCCCACCTATGAGCATATGAAGCATTGGGGGAAATGTTAGATATAAACTATAACAGGCACTTCACCTCTATTTTTGTTCCAAAAACTCCAACTCCCGCCTAACCATGAGGCAAACATGATTAGATAAAAACAAATTAGACATTTTACACAATACCTCAATGTTGTCAAGGTAAATGAAAAATAAGAAAAACTTCAGAACTCATCACAGACCAAGGGAGACGAAGGAGACATAACAATAAAATGTAAGGTGGTATGCTGAAATGGATCCGGGGTTAGAAAAAAAAAAACATTCATGGAAGAACTGGACAATCTGGAGTTTAGTTTATAGCAATATACCAATGTAGGCTTTTTTATATTGACATATGCACTATGACAATGTGAAATGATAACATTAGGGGAAACTTAAGCTGGGTGAGGGGTATACAGACACTGTACTATCTTTACAGCTTATATGGAGATACAAAATTATTCTGAAATAAAAGTTGAAGGATTAAAGGACTTGTACAAACATGTTTATAATAGCTTCATTCATAATTTCCCCAAATTGGAAATAATCTAGCAATAAGAAACAAACTCTTGGTATATAACACAATATAGATGAAAACCAAAAATATTACGTTAAATGAAGAAAGCAACTTACATTACAAAAGTAGGTACATAAAACACTCCGGGTCCAATCAGGAGAGAAAACACACAATGCTTCAATAGGGAAAGCTTAATCTTAAAATCTGTCATTTAAGCAGGGCACAGTGGTGCATGCTGGTAATCCCAGCTACTGAAGGATTCTGCAATGTGTTCCTGTTCCAGCTCCCAAAAAAGCTTGATGTCAGGCACACTATCAAAACAAACAAACAAACAAAACAAAAAACAACAGAAAAACAAAAAACAAAAACCACAGCTCTTTAAAGAGCCTATATTATTTTCACAAAACAGGCAAAATGGGTGAATTTGGACCTTAGATGCAATAAATTATTAACTGCCACACTATACCATCTCTGTTTATTTGAAAATTTTAAGAAAAGGAATTAATTCATGAAAGACTTGTCTCTAGGGGTTTGGGGAGGTGAGAACAGGGACTGATGCTGGGTGTCCTTATTAAAAAGAGGAAGAGACACAGAAAAGAGGCCAAGTGATGACGCAGTGGGAAAGTCACTATCTGTAGGCCAAGGACAGAGGCCTCACCAGAAACCAACCCTGTCAGTATCTTAACCCTGGATTTTCAGCCTCTAGAAATTGCAGAAAATAAATATTTGTTGTTTGTCATTCAGTCTGTGGTATTTTGCTATGATATCCCTAGCAATGTAATACATTCCCCAGCCATGCTATTTGGAGCCACGGAAACAGACACAATCACCTGTGGAGCAAGTGCAAGAAGAGTAGAGGTATTGGCTTTGGGTTTTAAGATATATCAATATTTAGAGGTCAAAAAGACAAGAGAATACAGCAAACAAGACCGACAAGGTTAATGGCAAACTTTCCCTTGTGAATAGAAAGAGGCATAACAACCAAGAGGAGAAAATGTTTTACTGGGGGAAGGGCAGCTGAGCCGAATGCTGCTGCCAGATCAGGAAAGTTGGTGATGCAAGAGCCTGATAAAGAAGCCTGATCATGGCAGAAGAGCACTTTCTGAGCTGTGGATGGTAAAATATATTAAAAACAAGGTACATATAAAACCAAAGCAAATTTGGGAGAAAAATATTACTTACATACTTACAGAGAATACTATCAATAACATTAAAAGCACCACTATAATTTAATAAAAGAATGAGAGAGGGGAAATGGGCAAAGGGTATGATAGAGAAATTCTTAGAAGAAATGGGATGCTCAGACTCAGAAATGTGATACCTAGTGTCATTTACTCATTGAAATGTTAACAACTGTATTTTGCATTTAGATTGTGAAGTAATTAATACTTTATAATGTTCAGAGTGTGCAACGATGATGCTCTCATCTTATTGGTAAGTAAAAGCTTTATTAAAGGTAGTTTAATGTTATCTATCAAAATAAAATTGCTTATGTCTTAAAATTGCTTCTCTATTAATATTACTTCAAGAATATGTTTTGCAGAAACATATTAGTAATAAGATTTTATCTTCTTACACCTAATCTAAGACACTATTAAAAGATGGATCACAGCTTCAGAGACATTAAAATGTGACGATAAGTACATTCTAGAATTGATAACATACAGTATTATAAATATGTCAACTGCAGCATTGTTTAAAAAGCTACACGTGATTGATAAAATATTGAATTTTAAACTTGCATTAAAATGGGAAGGTAATCTAAGTGTACTGCCATGGAAATATGGCCACCAGTGTTACCTAAAAAAGTGAATTTGCAGAATATTTATAATATGATTACACAATTTCTATTTCTGTAGGACAAAAACTCATGTATGTATATATTTATAGCTTAATTAAAAATATGCTAGTAGAGGAAACACCAAACAGCTATAAATTCCTGGGAAGGAGTGGAATGCAGGTGAAAGATAGCTTTTCTTTTGCTTTATATTTACATATTTTTCTATTTTTAACAATCTTATTTTTGAAAACAAAAATTCTCTTTGTATGTTAGCCTTAATAACTTGACTTAGGTAAAGTGAATTATGTGGAAATAAGTTAATAAAAGGGTTACATCTACCTAAGCATTCTGGAATTAAAGTATTTCATGTTCAGCAACAAGGCTTTTAAAGCTATGGATTTTGCTTTGATGTATAGCTGTGAATAAATTGAGGTACAGCTATGTTCTAGAACTTGAAAACTGATTTGACACAGGAGTGGTGATGAAGTGGAGAACAGGGCTATTATTTTAAGTTAGAATTGTAGAACTTGGAGAATACATGGACATTTCATGTAGAATTAAACATCATGTAAATGTCATCCTTAAATTCCAGAAATAGAATCCTTGAAATATGGGACACGGGACTTTTTTGCAGGGCTTGCATTGATAGACTTCTTATGTCCATGGAGCATAGGCATCGTGCCCACCAAGATAGCTGTAGTTATGTACTTGGCAGCTAGAGCTAACACCAAATGGGGTAGATCAATATTCATTAGTAAACAGGATGGGAAATTAGTAATGTTTACATTGGCAGTAATAACTCCAATCATTTAAAAAACCCAATATTGTCACAACAAATCTTAAGTATAAATGACCACGTGCCATCTTAGCATGTTATATACTAACATCTTCATTAGTGGGAATGACTAAACTACTAAAGGTAAATGATGAACCCCTATAAGGTATTTGTGTCCTTAAAATTCCATTATTCTACACAGGTCCAAATTTTTCTTTAGAAACTGTCTTGTCCCCAGTTACCTGACAGATTTAAAGCAACATAGAAGTGGGGAGTAAAATTTCTTGCTAATTCTAGTCTTTAAAGACACTGTTTCTAAGTCCACAAGATTAAATTTATAAAAAACAATGCAGGAGACAAAAGTATTGAAAGAAGATTTCAAAACTATAGTAACAAACGAACTGTAAAAGATATTTTCAGGCCAACTGAGTTATGAATATGAAATGGCTATTAGGGGTTATGAGAAATTGTTAGCTTTGTTAGGACAATAATATTGCATTTATATTAGAGAACATTAACTTCTTTTCTGGCAATGTATGCTTAAGTATTTAGGGATGAAATGTCATAATGTCTGTGATTTACTTTAAAGTTCAAAGGGTGATCAAAAATATATAGTGAGTATTTAAATTTAAAAATCATTATAGTAAAAGACAAATTGCCATTAATATGTCTCAAAATACTCCCCTCACTTTGAACACACTTATGCTATCATTCTTGTCACTTTCTGAAGCAGTTTTGGAAGTTCAGTTTGCTGAATATTTTTAGGACATGTGATCATAGATATTGTGAATGGTGCTGCCAAGTGCCGTGATCTGGCAGTGTGTGAATTTTGGATTTTCCCTGGAGTCAAAATGACCGAAGATAAACGTTTTGAAGCCGTTCAGGGCATCAAAGCAGCCACACATGACAACTAAAGACATGAAAGAGGATTTCCAGAACTGCTCCAGAAAGTGGTAGGAACTGGGATCACTGTGTTTGAAGTAAGGGGAGAGTATTTTGAGAAGGATTAATGGCAACGTGTCTTTTTACTATATTTTTACAATTTAAACATTTACTATAGCTTTTGATCACGTTTTATACATCAGCAAAAGGTACAGATTAAGGTAATATGTCAAAATAGAAATGTTAAAGGTGATATATACATACCTTCTTTATACATTGCTTTCTATTCTTATGTACATTTAAATTGTAGAGCAAAGTGCTACAGACAGTTGTTTATCAGATATACAAAATTAATTCGTGCTCACAATGCTTAACCACTTAATCTCAGGGAGCCTCAATTTACCTAGAAAATAAAAGAATCAGATTGGTTGTTTTGTTCTTTCTAGTCCTGAGCTACTATACAACAGAGACTAACTCAAATGCCTATCCAGATCAAGTCGGCAAATTCAAATTAGTTAACTGACAAAATGCTTGCCGATCTAAAGGGGGCGCCTTTCCACCTGAATATTGTCTTTCGATAATGGGGGTTCTGTCACCTAGCTTTTTTCGAGATAAGGAAAGATATTTCTACGTGAAAGTCCACATCTTTAAATGTTAACGTAGGACGCTAACCTTAACCCGGTGGTTTCGGTGCCCGCCCAAGGACCTCTGGGTCCCTGGATGGAGCTCCACTTGGAAATAAAACCGGTTTATTATCCTTGCTAGCTCTCCTCTACCGCGGGCAGCTGAGAGAGCTGCGTAGCGAGGTCCTTCTAGGAACCCAGGGATCGTCAAGCCGGCACCGGGACCACAGATCCTACACCCTCTGGGGAGTTAGGGAGCGACCCGAGCCTCCTGTAGGTTGAAAATTAATCCCGGAGAATTTGTAAGGAAGCACTGTTAATTTGGGCGCTCAAATACGGATTCCGCCAACAGGAAGTGGGGAATTCCCAACAGGAAGTTCCTCCTACTTGCCTGAGCTCTTCCTGTTTGGTAACTAAGGACGCGAGACAGTTGCGAGGGCTCTGGTAGCAACTTTGCGAATGTCTCAACTGGACTAGGGTATCACCCTAGACGAGAAGGCGGTTTTTTGTTCTGCTCTCTATCTGGAGTTCCCCATCCATTTGCCATGAGTAGAGAGTTCCTGGCGGAGCTGCATTGGGAGGATGGGTTTGCCCTCCCAGTGTCAAACGAAGGGAACAAAATGCTGGAAAATCAGGTAAAGACTTGAAGGAAGAAGAGGAGATCTGTTGAAGGTGTTTTCTGGTTGGCAGCACCACCCCATCCCTTTTATTTCTTTCCTTCCCTAATCGCATCCTTATTCTGTTTATGCTCCTCTGAGCCACGTCCTTCCTCTGTCACCTTACCTGCTCCTCTGGGTAATTGTTAACCATTTAAAAATTTTAATGAAACAGTAGATGATATTCAGTTATAAAACCTGGATCCTTATTCCCTTCTTCTCACTTATTCCACTTACTCACTTCTAGCCTCCTGGTCTGGAGAGGAAAGGCTGCCGTGCCTGCTTTATATTTCCTTGAAATTAAGCACTATTTGGAAAGGGATTTTCGAGGTTTGCATAGCAACAATTATTTGCATATGTTTGCAAGCAAAACGTGTTCTAGTTGATATTTCTTTGTGAGTTTCTTCCTATGATGTTTAAAGCTGAATGTGACTTGATATGTTTTTAAGAAGGACATTCTAACAAGAACGTAATGTGTGCAGTTTAGAACTTTCTGAGTGAGGATCAAGTTGTCACAGACTGACATAAAATATTTTATGTTGTAAGGACAAACTTACATCAACTACAATTCCTAGCACTTGGATTTTCTGAGCTCCCACCAACACTGACCATTCAGCTCAGCTTAAAACATTGTAAGGCTTCTCAAGTCTGCATCTCCAAACTTGTCCAAATACATCCAGCACACCAGTTCCAAAGTGTTCTGAACCACATAGCCATAGGCAAAGTCACAGCAATGACCCTACTTCTTGGCACCAGCTTTCTGTGTTAGCTTTCTATTATTGTTGCAAAATACGTGAGAATAACAACTTAAAGAAGAAAGGTTTCTTTGGCTCATGAATTCAGAGATTTCAGTCCATAGTCAGCTAGCTCCATTGCTTTCAGGACTGTGGTGAGGCAGAAACATCATGGCAGAAGGATGTGATGGAGAAAAGCCCATGGAGGCCAGGAAAAGGAGGAAGAGTAGGAGTAGGGGGAGGGGGAGAAGCAGAGAAAGGGGTCAGGGTCCCAGTATAGCCTTCAAAGTTCATGCTCGGTGACCCACTTCTTCTAACAAAGCCTCGCTTCCTAATATCCCATTCAGCTATGAATTCATCAATGGATTCATTGGTTGATGAAGTAGTACCCCCATGATCCAATCATCTAGGCCCCACTTCTGAACATTGCATTGAAAACCTTCAACACATGAGGTTTTGGAGAACATTTTAGATGCAAACAATGACATCTATTTTTAGAAAACAATATAAAGGGACTGCTTTATATCCAGATGCATGGAAAACACCAAAATCTTGCTTTTTCCCCCCAAAATCTTATGTAGATAAAATATATAGATAGCCTTGCATACTTTCATTATTAAGTGACAAAAGTAAAGAAATTAATAACTCATCTCAATACATTAAAATTATGGCAAAATAAACAAAAGGGGGATTTTAATTTCAAAACTGAAATAAATGAAATAGCTAATATAAGAAATATGTATATAAAATCTGAGATAAATATTATGTAATAATTCTAAAAGCTAATATTTAATATTCAAGAGTTTAGTAAAATATAGGACATAAACAAATAAATTAGTATTTTTCCCTAGATAAAAATTTTAGTATTTTCTTCCATATTTCAGTGGACTTTGTTGTACCCCTGGGAGGTACCCATAACTTTGGAGATATTGTTTGATTATGAGAAAGTATGCTTTTCCTTTGTTGAGTTTTTATACTGCTTGGACGCATGGCATCTTCTAATGGTTTTGCAGTTTTCCAAATTTTTATTTTGCTCATTTAATATTTGTACTGTTTTGTTTCTACTAGAGGTTCTAATTCAAGAACAAAATATGTTAAGAAATAGATTCTAAGCACACAAGAGCTATTCTGTTAGGCTAAACCTAAATGTATGGAAAAGGAATTGAGGAAGAAGAAATCATACCTAGTATATAGCCACTACCAAAATGTGTGGTTTCTGCCCCCTTTCTCTCCCTCCACTCCCATCACTCCCTCCTCCTCTATCTCTTTCTGCCTTGCTAGTATGCTCTTCTTCACGTAATCCATCTTGTGGTTTAGTTATGGAAAAGAATCTCATTTTTGTCCTGTAAAAATATAATACTACTATATGAAAAAAATGCATTTTAGCAATGGATCCTGCTCTTGCTGCAATTCTAAGAGTGATTTCTGTTTTGTTTTACTTTTCCATAGTATTCACCAAATTACAATACTGTTTTGCATTTAAAAGATAGATCTTAGAAGTTCCTATGGACATTTAGAGAAGCAAAATTTTATGATGGAATGTTTATGTCCTTCTCAAACTCATATGGTGAAGTCCTAATCCCCAGTGTGATGGTTTTGGAGGTAGGGACTTTGGGAGGTAATTAGTTCATGGTACTGGAACCCTTATAAATAAACTTAGTGCCTTTAGTAGAAAAGATAAGAGACAAATGATCTTTTTTTCTGTCATGAAGGCATCTATCTATAAACTAGGAAGTGAGGCTTCACCAGAAACCAGGGCTGCGGGGACTTTGATCTTGGAATTCTCGGCCCTCAAAATTGTGACAAATAAATTTCTTTTGTGGGCTGTGATAAATGGACTGTGACAGAACATTTCATTTTCTTTTGATTTTTAGGTCTTTCAGTATGGTAAAAGTTAATAGGACTTTGATCACAGTATTTATTATTTACAGTTATCAAAGCTGCAGAATGAAAAATCAAACTTGGAAGATCAGCTACATGATTACGAGGATCGAATTAATGCTATGAATTCTCACTTCAAAAATGTTAAGCAAGAATTCTCATTTACACAGGTATAGTAATATTGAAATTTATGTTGATTATATCCATGTAGTCATGGACCATTTCACAGTCAATTTGTATCTGTGATTTTATGTTAGAGATATACAAAGCTAGCATAATCCAACTATTATGAACATAACCTTGAATGTTAAAGTAGATAGAAAAAAAGTTTGAGGATCCAGTTACTGCTACCAATTTTAAACAAAAATTAATTCATATTAAAGGAGAAATTATCCAAACAATCTCATATAATAGTAAGCATCAGATTTATATAAGAAGGATCCAATAATGGCAGCGAGAAATGATAGCTATAAGTAGAAACAGAGCTAAGATAATGCAGAATAGATTTCTATCCCTTTTCAGTTTTTTAGCCCAACTCACTCTACACACTTTAGTAGCCTTTATGGCTTCAAGGTGTTTTAGTATAGTTCAAGAACTAAAATTTTAATGATCATCATGAGATTAAAAAGTTAAATTATGTTGTAGACTATTTAAGATAACTTGGGAATACATTTTAGAAACACTAACACAAATGTAATTAAATTAAAACTTGGAGTAGTGAAATAAGCTTCTGTTTTAAGAATAATTTATTTAAGTGTAGAGATTCACTCCCTGACAATGTCCAAAAAACCAGGTAACTTGACAAATCAGCATGGACTTCCTTGTCAATTAAAAAAAATGTTCATCTACTTTTCTGAGAAAAATAATAATTTTTAAAAATGAAGAAAGCCATACTTCTTTTTAATTTTTTTTTTCTTTTTTTGGTACTGGGGATCAAACTAGGGAGGATTGAACTGCTTGCGAGGCAGGCGGCAGAACCACTGAGCTAAATCCCCGGCTCAAGAAAGCCGTATTTAAAAAAAAAATTATACTTAATGTGGGTATTTTTGATAGTTTGCAAATCTTATTAGGAAGTTACATATTTAATAAACATTTGAAACAATACTCATGTAAACAATACTCTTGGATCCTTATTTGAGTAATTGATAAATTATTTGGAAGACAGTTTTCCTCAAGTTATTAAACTAGTGGTTTGGGGACTTGAGAGATAGGAGCATTGTTGGTATATCTTATTGCCATCAAACTTGAATAAACAAACCTGGATTAAATAGAGACAAAAGATGATAAACTTCCTACAACAGTAGCAACTTTAGTACTGCTAGTATAAAATTAATACCGAGAGTATTAACTGTGAGGCACTACAAGATCACTAGTCAAGAAATTTTTTTATAAGATAAAAAAACCAAAGGACAGTTGTATACTAATATGATCTAAGAAATATTTACCACCATCAGTTTTTAAATATTTTGAAATTATCTGTTAATTATGTGATCAACAATATAAACATTCCTTTCCCCAATTATTTTTAATTGATTATTTCTTACTTATAAATAATGAGTTATAGTTTTTAGGCCTCACCACATAAACTTTGGTTTTCTTTAGTTTTCCTAGATGAACATAATATCTGAAGACTGCTGATGATATTTCCTCTGGGCAGTCCGTGGCATGACACTTTTACCACTAGTGAGCAACATCAACCACACTGTAATCACAGTCTAATGTGAAGGTTTTATCATAGTGGAGCTAATAGTACTTAATCTAAGCATTTGGGGGACCTTCTTTTTGCCTAATAGATTATTATAAATGTTTTAAAATAATAGAATTTAAAAAGTATTTCCATTTTGTGTATTACTCTGCAGTCTCTTTACAAAGCAAAGGAGAATGAGATTGAAAGTGAAGAACATTTTAAGGCCATTGCCGAAAGAGAATTGGGACGAGTGAAGAGTGAAATACTAAGACTAGAAAATGAGATCGTTTCCATACGAGAACGGAAAACTGACAAGGAAGTATGTGTTGAAATGTTACTTAAAGTTTTATAGTACTTACTGTACCTCTCAATAAATGAGCATTGATTTTATTTTTTGTATAGGAAAGGTATTCTTTAGTTTCTTGACATTTACGTAAATTGCTTGGTTGGAAAATGGAATGACATGGAATTATGATTTGAATGAAATAATGATGAAATATTATATTTCCCCCCATTATTCATTTATCACTTATTTATGGAAACTTAGTATATTTAAATTATGCTGGCCGCCTATTATAAAATACTAGGCCTAGTTAACATGTGTTATATTTTAACCATCCACATCAATTTTTGTGTGAATTTCATTTAAAATTTCTACCTTTCATATTAATTTTTAAGCTTTATGACTCTAATATTAAACTACCTTCACCTATTTCTCATTCTTTTTTTTTTTTT